GTAATTTGATACTTTGTTTGATTAATTCTTGCTCACTAATAGAAATTTTTTTCATTCATTTCTCACCCCCATATACTATACGATTTTGTTAATCATTACTGAAAGAAGCGGCATGCTAGGCCTGTCATTCCGCTTATATAATGTCACAAATCTATGTAGTATGTATGTATGTATGTATGTATGTATGTATGTGTGTGTGTGTGTGTTGTGTATTTGGTCAGTGTAAAAGTCTTAGTTATTTTGTTAAGTCTTTCTCTCTCTCTCTCTCTCTCTCTCTCTCTCTCTCTCTCTCTCTTTGCAAATCTATGCCTGATATTTTAAAGACTGGCTTCTCTTGTTACATGGGCAGCTGGTAGTTGACGCGTATATACCGCGATTTCGAGTTGAAAAACGTACGTAAAATTGTTGAATAAATGCAACCGCAGCGATCAAAAAGTCACAGATAATACCGTATCTAAAATTTGGAGCGGAAAAGAGAGAATATATAGCCGCTTTAAAATTTAAATTAACAATGAAATACATACTTGCTACGCTTTTATGACGAGGGGCATTCAAGATTCGTCGAAAGCCAATTGTGATATATTTTTTTTTTCTATTCTTTATATTTGTGTTCAGACAAATTCTCGTTACTGAGTTTTTCATTGTAATGAAACTATTGTGCCATTTTTGTGTTAAAAGTATATAGCTTTCAATTTGATTTTGATTGCACCTGGAATCCGATTTGCTTCGGGTTGTTATTTTGTTTTATCAATTATGTGTTTATATGGTGAATAAATAAATGCGCGTATTTTCTCTGGCCGGCTTAACATTCGACATGCTCTCTTGATTTGAAAAATGCGAATGGAAATTAAAAGGCATTTTCAAAGAAATAGAAACTTGTATTTGATTTAAACATTATTTTTAATTTCAAAGATATAAATCGATCATTTAGATTCTAATCGATATATTAGAAATTGTTATGCTGTTTGTATTAGGAAAATCGATGATTTCTCAATACAAGAATTAACTCTTTTTGGAATTTTAACGAAGTAAGTGCTTTTTTAATTTGCAAATTTCGTAGCAGACTTGTTTAACATGCGCCGCTTTGTCAAATTCGAATTTATTTATTTTTTTCTTCACATCAAATAAAGGCGTGTGTTAACCCAATCTTTTTTTTTTTTTTTTTAGATATTTCAAAAAAAAAATTCATCTCGACGACTGGATAGTTTCATTATTTTTGTAATAAATTTTAATTTATGGACGCCTTTTTTGTAATTATTCATTGTTATTTGCAAACAACGCTAAACATAAATATTAATTTTGTTGGGAAACAGACAAAAAGGGAAAAGAGAAAAAAAAAAAACAAAAAAGGCTAGGACGCTAATATGAAATATAACATATCGTTTAATCATTCTGGGACTGATACATAACAAAAGATTCATATTATTTTTATCGTCAAAGTTTCAAGTCATATCGCTCATTTCTTTACGAGCTACGGGTCATTTCTAGAGAATCGGAATTTTATGTGTTAGTTAAACAATGCTTGTTGTGATGGGAAAAAATAACCTACAAATTATAGATGGGCTTGAAGAGCGGCCACATAGTCAACGTCCCAAAAAAAAGTTGGTTGCACCAGGATTCATTAAATCATCAAATTAATCTCTATAATCGAAAAGTGAAGTTATGGAAGATGGCCGATATTCTAAAGACTTGGAAAGGGCAGAGTACTCATCATGCGACTCATATGCCAAATGGATCTCTTTTGCGACCAGCGAATAGCAAAATTCCATGAAGTGAACAAATTTCATATCGGAATCTTTGGACTGATTGTATCATTGTTGAAGGGAAGACTATATTGATGACTAAAGTTGTATTTAGGAAAAGAATGTTTCACTTTTACTCAATACCGGGTATTATTGGCGCATGTGTTAGGTGTTTGCTAAACTTTTCAGTGACGGCGACTTTTACAGGCAAAGATGTTAAAAAAATGGGAAATACCAGTGCACGTAATGGTTGCTATTCAATCGTTTTGACTTTTCCCTACATATAATAACAATTTTCCATTTAATATTATTGAGATATTTAGCGTATGCCGGCACTAATCACATGTAGCGCTCAAAATTGCATTTTTGTTTTTTATTACTTTTGCTGTTTATTTGAAGAAATCTGCTGCACAGGAAGCGCAGCAAACACGTTCAGAAGCTTGTGGCGATGCTGCTCCATCAGATCCCAATTGTCGGTTTCGGTTTCAACAGTTTAAAGGTGGTGACGCGAATTGATTGAAAATGACTTTTTTTTGGCCGCCTGTTGCAAGAGTTGTCCAGGTCGAAAGGGAAGTTCTGCCACATCTAGGTTTTTTATCAAACATCACGCCGTCTGATTACCACTTGTTCAGATTGGTGTAGCATGACTTGGCTGGCATGCGGGTACGCTAAGTTGAAGCAGTGCGCAAACGGGTGGATTGCTGCGAAACCAATATAAGTTCTCTCGCCGTAATACTGCCTTTTTCAAGTGAAAAAAGGATCAAAAGTTTTGCAAACACCTAATATTATATTGCCCTTAATTGAGAGTCATACATTTCCATCTCGCAAATGCAAATCTCCCTACGCTATGTTGTTTAAATAAAGTCATTACTTCAAGGAGTAACTTTGATATTTCAAATCAGAAGTCAAATTTTGAAATTTGGAATAAGACACATTTTTGGAAACCAAATGGATGGCCCATAGTTACCAGTAGTGTTTTTATTGGAAGTTATACTTTCAGATTCGCAATCTACAACTTCCGCTCTAGGCTCGTCAATCTCGAAAAAAAAACTAGAAGCAAGTAAAAACATCAAGCAAGGCCGGACATTGAATCACCGTAATGTATGAAAAAATGTACCAGGTTTTCATTTAAACGAATATATCTCGTTTGAACTTGTGATATGGGACGGAGACCAAGGCGTGATATGACGTGATCCCAATTTAGGAAAATTAATTTTCACTTGCCAACGATGCTATGATTCTTTACCTATTTTCGTGATAAAGTATTAAAAATTAGAGTTTATTTGAATTGATAGATTAACCTTTCGTGGGAACTCTTACATAATGCGAGGTTCAGACTGCAATATTATTATGGATCAAATTTCTTTATAAAATATCAACAAATAAGAGCCTTTCGCTATATAAGGGTTAACTTTGTGTCCCAATCGATCAATTTGGTGCAATGAAATACCATTCATTGCTCGACATATATATAACAATAAGGCTTTATACGATGAGCGATTTTAAAGATGGTCCGATTCAAGCCATTTTTTCAATGCGTTACGGAATAATTTGGATAAAAATTAGACAGACGGACGGACAGATAGACAAACCAGTTGAAGTCGATTCAAAGAATAATTATGAATTGATCGGTATAATGAAATGTGAGTCTATCTTAAATTCTTCAGGGGTTTTGCAAGCATTCACACAAGCTTGCATCATAAGTGCTGTAGGGTACGATTAAATACAATTTATATGTGCATGATATATTTTCTACCACAGAAAATATTGAAGTAATAATGAAGAAAAGAAGAAAATGTACGAATTACGGGGGGAATAAAAAATTATTTGCGTCAGTTTTGAAATGAACAGTTAAGAGAGTTGAGATTTCTTTGTCTACTCTGGACGCGGTTGTGTGAATAAACAATACCTCACAATTGCATCTGAATGTTCTAAGAGCAAACGAATAGAACAGAGTAGAACAGAATCTTACGATATCTGATCTGAGGCGTAATATATTTTTCGTTATAGCAAACGGAATGATAAATCTAATATATGTCCCTTCTTGGATGGATAGAAGACTGCGAAAGGCAACGTAAATGTAAACATAAACTTCAACATCAACTATGTTATTAACGTTTATTGGTTGCACGTGTCCGGACACACTAAGCCACCAGTGATCTGATTTGCGGTTTTAAAGTTCAACCGAAACAACTGCTATTGACGCGAGAACAGTTGTTAATAAGTGCATAAATGAATTGTTGTATGTGTTATTAAACGTTTTAGCATGTACAAAATATTTTCAACAATATATATATATATATATATGTGTTTTTTTTTTTCTTTTTTATGTTAATCGCAGTTGAAGCAAATAATGTGAAAGATGTACATAAAAAAATCTCTTAATTGTTCGAAAACTGTAGGCGTATGGTTGCGTCTATTTTGGCCATTTGTCATAGATCGAAAAGAAATTTGTAGGAATAGCAAGTAAAAATATATATGATTGTCAGTCTTAAACATTCCATTTCAATTTTTTGACTTTGAAAATCACGACTAAATGGATGGACAAAACACGTATATCTATATGTATACATATGTATGTCTTGTAGCATATATCTGTTTTATCTTCTTTAAATATTGTTCGCGTAATTAATCTCTTAATATGTACGCGTTTGAACACTTCATGGATTCCATAATTTATAAAACACTTTACGACACGTGACTATCATTATAGCGTAATAACAATAATAATATAATAAAATAAAATTTGGTTTGTTAAAAGCGTTTCGAAGGAGTTCTTAGAATATATAATTCCTTAAGTGTCCTTATATCCTAAACTATGGTTGCGAGCGGATAATGTGGTATAAGTAACAACTGTTCAATATCAATTATCTAATTTGAGATTTGATGAAACATTTTTGCTGATGTGCGCCATTGGATGATGGGAAAAATGCTAAACGAGCAAAAATCGCTGAAAGAAACCTATAGTTTTCTACTTTTGATATAAGAGGAAACATATAAAATTATATAAGTTAAAATATATTATAGTAGTAGAGTAGAAAATTCCTTCCGCTTGGATTTTTATCCAGTCGCGAACTTGATATGTTATGCAAAAACTGTAAAGCATTTCTTTATTATAGGCGTGTTAGTTACTCGATGTGTGTATTGATCGTGTCGATGGGTTTTTTAATTATATATATATATGGTAGTTCAGATTCGCGAGATCTTTATCGAGATCTCGTACATATTGAAATTTTCATATCCGGGCATGAAAGTATTCAAGTCAACATGAAGTGCAAGTCTAGCAATCCTTTTTTAGAATATTTATTGAGAACAACTTTTTGATAGAAGACTAATATCGTGAGAAATCGTCGAACGCCACGATTTCAAGTGCTATGAATCATTTTTTTCATATTTTATGTTTTTCGAGTAAAAAAGGGGAATACGTACCATAAAAAATCATGTTTGATCAAGTTAATGAAAGAGAATGTTTCCGATTGGCTCAGAGTGAATTGGAAATTGTGCGATTATTTGTATTTTTTTACTTGCACATGTAAAACAACCCCTTAATTTTAGTACAGCATATCATACATATAAAGCACCGGGGGATTTACAATGGCGTAGGAACGACACAGAGGGTTGCTGATATCAACAATCTCATTGAAGGTCGTCTATTGAGCCGGTGTGTTTCTGTTATTGTGTTATTATAAAACTAGGCAATATCCCTAAGCAATCTTTAGTTGGCCGAGCGACGGGTTAAAGAACAGTAAACAAAACCACGTGGAAAATATTATGACCCGCAATGCCTACATGCACACGGTGAAACATAAAAAACTTAAAAAAAAATATATAACTTTTGCAGTTATATAAGGAATGGAAATTTGCGCGAAAATGTCATCTTGTTATAGCCGGTTTGATATTCGCTCCATCGATTCAGATGAGAAATTTGATGACAATTCCTCTTACGATAGTGGTTATGAAAAAAGCTTTGAAACGGATTGTTGTATTACGCCACGTAAATCAGAGTTTGATTGCAGTTTAAATTATTGTAACGAAGCCGCCAAAGATAGTCTTGATAATCATCTTAGTAATTCTCATATATCTGTGATTGATCAGTCCCTATTTCCCGCTCTTCTTGATAACTGCAGCAACCACAGCAATCGCAGCTCCCGAACTCTAGTCGAGCACGTAATTAACAAAGTTCCACCATCGGAAAATGAGTTTTCACCTAAATTAGGCTCAGACACATCGACGCCGATAAAAAAATCGAAATTACAAGAAGATGAACATACAACAGAGCCACGACCTAAACGTAAGTATGCCATCGGACAAAATCGAATGACACGTTCGCGTAGTCCCACACAGGTTATACGTATTAAGAAATTTCGTCGCCTAAAAGCTAACGATCGCGAAAGAAATCGTATGCATATGCTTAACGATGCCCTAGAGCGATTACGTATAACTTTACCTCAGTTACCCGAAGAGACCAAATTGACGAAAATCGAAATATTACGGTTTGCCCATAATTACATTTTCGCTTTAGAACAGGTATTGGAAAGAGGCGGGACACTTAATTTAGATTTGGAAAAATTGCAAAATTTTACACTGAGCGGAGAGCGGATAACAAAAGAAATATTTGAAGCACTATTTGTAAGTCCGCAACCATTTCCCAATTTAGTGGAAACAGGCTTCATTGGTTATGATTTTAGTGGGCGTATACCATCCCATCCATTTCATCAAATGCCATTCGGCAATCAACAAGCTTCATCTTATCTTAACAGCTCGCCATCATCAATATTCAATACTCAAGATTTTTTTAACAGTATGAGCCATTACGGTAACCAGCAACGTCAGCAGCACCTCAGCCACTATACAAATGAAAACTATTCGACAGAGAAATATGAACTTTTTGAGGAAACCTTTAAAGCAGCTGCTCAAATAAAATCAACCGTAAATAATCGCACCGCAAAATATTTAACGCATAATGAATGCCATACCGGTGTAAATTATCCATCATCCCGACTATCGTCTAATATAACTTGCAGAAGTAAATCTCCTACACAAGCGGATTTTCATCAAGACTGTAGTTTCTATAGGCAAACATCATCTTGGAAGGAGTGCAAAAAATCGTTTAATAATAATAAAAAATCTCTTAAACTAAATTAAAATATAGTAAGAGCATTAAACAACAACAACAACAGCAAAAACAATTTCAATCGCAGAAAAACTTAAAAATTTGCAAACCCTTTTAACAACATTTCATTTTCAAAGCTTACTTAAAAGACAAAAAAAAAATTTACAAAAATCTTAAGTTTACAAATAAAATAAAAATAATTGCAATTTGTCGCTGCAGGAGGAGCATTTAAAAAAGTGAACCAAAAATATATTTAAGAACTTCTCATTAAAGTTGGAATTTACAAAAAAAAAAAAAAGAGAAAAGAAAAGAAGATATATATATATATAACCCGATTTGAAATGTGAGCATTTTTGCATGAATTTTTTCTTAGAAGGAATTGAACAATAATAGTTTTTTGATATATATCTTTGTGTACCTTATTCTTAGAAAAATATATGAATTGTAAAATGTCCATTTGCAAAAAAAAAAAACAACCGAAGCTAGTCATACTGCTGCTATTCCTTACAAATTATTATTATTTTTTTTTTTAATTATTAAAACATTTACATTTACATTATTTGTATTGAGATATTATAAAATATATATTCATTGAATTGCTTAGGTATCTCTCCGGTCAATAGAATAATTTAGTTAAAATTCAATTTCAACTCTGACGAATATAGATCTCATTTAGCAAAATAAGGTAAAAATTCTTAAATCTCATTACTTGAAAAATTATATAAAATTAAGTTTAAACTTTAATCAATTCACAATAAACATCATTTAAACTAATATGTTGTGAGTTGATTTTTCCATTATTTTATCATATTTCAAGATCAATGACAAATGTGCTGACACTTGTCTTAAAGTCAACCAAACTTAATTACCAAATTAATATGGAAAATTTAAAAATTTGTTTTTCAATTCCATTTCCATGCATAAATTTTGACTCCTATTGTCTAAGAGAGTCAGTATTAGTAACTATTCTTCAATACCGGTAATATGTGGATAATTCATGAAAATGTGCGGATAATGCAACCAGTCAGAAATCCGTTGAACCGGTCTCAATTATGTTGTAACCTAAGCTAACATGCATTTAGCTCCGGATTTTTAGGTGCGTTTGGTCACTTTCGGACCAGATCAGACTTGCTCAAGTTCTCAATTTACTAATTTTTAATCTATATATCCTACACCACTTGTTATAGCGTAGTGTGTGTATTAAGCTTGTCCTGGGTACATGCAACACCAAGAAAAACTTGGGGCAGCGGAGTGGTGTAGGGTGTTTAATGATAAACCGTGACTAACTACAGTCCTTTTACTTGTTAATAACACATTTATTTGAAATTTGAAGCTTAAACAGTTGCTTTGAGATTCCTAAGGAAGGTCAAAGAATCAGACGTACGTACTTAAATTGAGAGAGAATGGAAACGAAAATAATGAATTATTTTCTTAAATAATAAAAATTAAAATTATGTATAAACGAAGATATTAATCTGGCAGAGGAGAAAATGACCTATTATTAAATTAATAAACAAACCTTCATAACAGGCAAAGGCATACAGACATACCCACCCTGAAAAAGTATTCAATAAATTTATATGTATTTGATTTAAGACACGTGCATGTTTATCGTGTGGTGAGTATATCCGAAGAGTACTCAACAAAGCTACAGAATGGACTGCATGTTAGCAGAAACAAAAAGATGACGGTTTCGCATCACCTGTCAAGAACAATGAAGAAAAAAATTGCTTATAAATGTTGCTGTACACATAGGCACAAAACAAAATAGGGTGTAGGGGTTGTTACAGTCATAATTTTTACAAGTTGCATATGAAAACCAGAGAAAATTATTATTTCTTTTTTATTTAAAAAAAAAGAAGCAAATGACAAAGCAAGACTGGAGTCGTGCGTTACCAATGAAACTCTTTCGATTGCAAATGCATCCTTTTAAATTAATTAGGGTTTTGGTTTTTGTCTAGGAACTATGAACTTTTAGATAAAATCACGGATCATCTACGTCAGAAAGACATAGACGTAATCTGTTATACAGATAACAGATTATTTCGAGATAAAATCGGAAATCCATTAGTAGCATTTCCTTTCGTTCGGACAAGAGGCTGTCATGCCGCAGTTTCTAAAATGATGTGAATACAGCTGTGAAAAGCCGCTACAAGTCAATATCGATTTTTAGATAAAGAGAAGCTCGTAAACAAAACTCCCCAAATACAAACTGATAAGTGGCCTTCATTTCAATTTCGAAAATCATGGTATAATTTTCATTTTTTGGAATAATGGAATGGAAAAAACTCCTAAGCGTGCAGATTAAAATTCCGACCATTTTTGTTAGATAATAACTTGTATTAAGGATTTTGTAAATAAAAGATCGACCGTACGCGAATAAGTAGATAAGCCGATAAGCAGCCAGCCATTGTGTCGTATATATCATGTTTATGTAATTATTTGTACTCTTATCCTACCATTTAAGGGTGCGGATAAATTCATTTTCTCCAAACTTTTGCGACATCTAAAAGGAAATTTGAACGACTCTATAAAGCGTATATAATACATTCTCGATTAGCATCAAAGCGTCCGTCCGTCTACTCCTTAACGTGTTCTTCTGTGGTCGACATACCTCCGTTCGCAACCATTAAGATATTGACCTGATAAGACATTGAAACTTGTCAGTGTAGATTTCTTTATTTAAGGTAATTCGAAAGGATGCAAGGACACGCCTCTGCTCAAAACAATGTGATTTTTTCTTTCTTATACCCACCACTGCAAGATGGGGATATACTCATTATGTTTTTTTCCATAATGTATGCAATACCCAGAAGGGAACTTTAAAGACCATATATTCTTGATCGGCATGAAATTCGTAGTGGCTTTAACTATGTCTGTCCGTCTGAAGGGTGTGTGTTGTTGGCGCTCTCCTGGTTGCAAAAACGAAGATATCGACTTCAAATTTGGTAGAAACAGTGGAAGTTACTACACGCAAGTTGGTATTGAAAATGGGCTAAATTGGTTAGAGCAAAAGCGCGCAGTGGAACGTAAACTGAATGCAACTCAGTTTTTTTTAAACAAAAATTTTTGGATTTTTCCCCATAACTCGGATATTATTAAAGTTAAAAGGCTGAAATTTTCCACGTTTACTTTACAGCACACTTTACTCTTTAGGTGCACAAAAATGGAAACAACCAGTCATGCCGACGCAAAGTTAAAAGTAATTGAATTTTATTTTTTTCACTTTTTTGAGATTCTATGCTTATTTATCATAGCACGAATGAAACGGAATGTTTAAAACTATTTTGTATACTTCTCAAATCAAGATATATTATCTGCCTGAAAAAGGATTAATTTTAAAATGAAAACCGCGATCAAATAAAAAAATTTGAAGAGTAGAATGCGAAAAGCAAAGTGGTGGGTATGCGAGATTCGGCATCTGCCGAATACGACTTTTTTACTTGATTTTACTTTGGAGCTTGTCCTCCATGCGTATAACATGGTAAATGTTCAGAAAGAGGTGAGTAAAGAGGAAGAGATAGAGTGGCGGCCTGTGCAGCTCAATGAATGTGACTCACTAAAGCTATGATCCAAGGTAAACTCTTCTCCTCCTCGGCTACTTATGCTCTAGAGTATCGAACTATTATTTTTGAAAAACATTTTTTTTTTTTAAGATGTTGGTTATATACGATTCGGCCATACCTGAATAAAATTTTCTTATTTATTATTTTTCAAAGTGTTAAGATTTATATTTGTAAGATGTTGTTTGCCTAATGTACTCCGTTGTTTATTTTGTGTCAAACAAAAGAGAAACGCAATTTCGTTAAGAGACAACAAACTGGTAAATACTTAATACGATGTACGCATACGCATTGTATTTGTGCAGGTCCGCTAAATACGATTTACTTTCCTTTTCTACTGAATATTAAAATGGAATGTTCAAAAAAGTACAAGCTCTGGGGTTGTTTAACAAATTATTTCATTTAAAAGTACGAAAAAAAAAAAATAAATATATATATATATATATGTATGCCTCTATCGTTGAACGTTACATATATATAGTTTTGATATATTCCCGCTTGGTCACAATGTGATAGTCTAAGAGAGGGTATATTGCAGTCCTGGCCTTGTTATTATTAATTCACCCTTATGTTATCTTTGATTTTATACACTCGGTACAAGTGCTCGATAACGCATTGTACTCGAAGCCGTTAATACGTTCACATTTCGGCAATAAAAGAAAAGGATACGGTCCGCAAACAACACATTTTAAGACAAATTTTGGTTATCCATACATAGCCAAGTCTAGAACGATTCGGATTTATTGAATGTTTTACACTTGCTACATATAAAGATAGATACATACAAGTTATACCCTACACTACTACTTGTTGCATAGGGTATATTAAGTTAGTGCGTACGTATGTAACAGGAGTTAAGGAGTTGTATGTAAAAGGAGTTAAGATAGATCCACTTCTTATTATACCAATCGATTCAGAATCATAATCTGGATTGATCTAGGCCTGTCTGTCCGTCCAATGTCGGTTTATATAAATATGTGTCCAAACTGTAGGTTGCAATTTTTGACATATTTTGATGAAATTTGGGCCAAGGACGAATACTATTGAGAATGGCTCGAATCGGTTCACTTTTTCGACCATCCTCATATAAGGCCCTATTCCGAAAAGTTGTTGTATGGAAAAAAATTGCAATTTTTAAAATTGCGCGGCAAAAATGCCTAAGTAGTAGTATTTTAGATTCTAAAGTGTTCGGGATTCTCAATTGGTATGAAAACTTTGGTATGAAGCTGTGGAAATTTTTGAATCTCCTCTTATATAACGAAAGTTAAAATTCATGCGACAAAAAGGTGTAATTTTCAATGCTTGAATGATGAAAATTATACCTAATAATAATTAAACTTAAAAGATTAACTGTACCAAATTTGGACCATCCCGGCCTATTTTTTTGGATTCTACCCTTATGCGGACTTTCACGAAAATTGGTCCTGCGTAGAATAGAAAGGTTT